ATATTCTAAGTCAAGAACTCTGTTCCCACGGGAGGAGTTCAACTCCCCCGTTTGCTAGACCGGACAAAGCGTCCTGCAGAACATCCTCTATGGCGAAGTTGAAAAGGAAAGGAAATATAGGGCAGCCTTATCGAACTCCACTGGAGATGGCGAAGAGTAGTGAAAGCTGGCCATAAGCCCTGACCCGACCTGAGGTATGACGATACAACTCTTTGAGGATTGACATACTTCTCAGGTACTCCATTCCTCAACAAACAGCTCCATACTGCAGCCCAATCGATAGAGTCGAGAACTCTAATGGTGTTTAGCAATACAGTAATCGCTGTTCTTTGATAAGCATGACGGTGCTCAAGCATCTGTCTGAGGGCGAAGGTTTGATGGATGCATCCACGACCGGCACGGAACCCAGCTTGCTTCTCATGGATCTGCTCTTCATGCGTGTTGCACAATCTGCGGAGAATGACGGACGCTGAAAGCTTTGACGCTATTGGGATCAGGCTTATACCCCCTATGATCGGTGTAATCATTGCGCTAGCCCTTTTTAATGAGGGGGCGACTGTCGACTCCCCCCACCAGAAGAGGACCTGCTCAGTGTTCCAAACTTTAGAGAACAGGACGTAGAGTTCTCCAACAAGCTTTATTCCACTATCTTTAAATAGGGCTGGGGAAGTGCAATCGGAACCCGGCGCTTTGTAACGTCCCAAGGTTTGGATCTCCTTACGGATTTCCGCCTCGCTGTTGAATGTGAAGAAGCGAGCCGTCAGCTTCATAGATCATCTCGCTCACACCCAAGGATTTCCTACCGGTAACTCGGATGAGATATGAACTGCTTACAGGAATTTCCCATGGCCACAGAACGTTCCATTTCGGATGTGCGTTGAGACCACCAGATCTTGCGATCTCTGCGTAGGCTTACTTTAAGTTCACGTCTTATTACAAGCCGTGTTACGGTATGCTCGCTGTCGGTCGGAAGTGACCGACGTGCGTCAAAAAGGCGCAGAGGTTCAGCGGAAATCTAGTGTGACATGGCGTGTCAGTCCACAACTAAACCACTAGAATGCACAGCATTCTTGATAAGCGACCAGTGCTCACTGACGTTATCAGGTGGGGTTTGTTCCCGCTTATCAGCTAGCACATTCCGAATGACGGCTTAGCATGCTGGTTGAGACAACTTATCGCAGTCTAACCGCCGCTCTGGTACTTTTAGGACGCCCACCGAAGCACATGAATAGCTTGGTGGAAACTAACGCGTAATCGGATTCGAGGGTGATGGTCCAGTACGATCGACAGTCCTGAATGCAACCCCGCCATTTGTGGCTAATAGCGATGTGGTCTATCCGCGTTTTTCGCTGACTCGTGGCCAGTGGACACCAATTGGCGTATCAGTATTTGGAGCGTCTGAAGTTCGTACTTTCGAGGAATAGGCGGTGGTCGGAGCACAGAGTCAACAGCCGTTCCCCGTTTTCCGAACGACAGAAATCTAGTCTGAAAGGACCACGCAGATGCGCCTCACTCGAAGTCAGTTGGCCTACTCAGGCATTCATATCTCCTGCTAAAATCACGATATCAGCCCGATTTGCCTTACGGAAGAGGTGTAGCTTTTGGTAGACGACAAACAAGTTGCGTCTTTCGGAGCGACGACCATTTACTTTGCTCGAGCCTGTCAGTCTCACTGCGCACAACCTACTGTCCACTGGGATCTGGTCCAGGTATACTGTTTCAGCTCTCACTGAGAGCCACACCAAGGCCAGCAAGACCGGAAGCCGCAGCCTCAGGGTCTCCAGAGAGGCGTAAGTGAAACTTCGCAGATGGGTTTGACGGGGACGTCAATCGGTTGGCTGAGCTAGAGTCCTGCACGCGAGTCTCAACACACATCAATGGCTAAGGTCTCGATCGGACGAGCTAAATACGCCTGTTGTCCCATACGCATCAAGGTATACGCGTTAAATGTGGCCAGTTTGAATAGGTGTTGAGGACGAAGAAGAGCTTCAGCTGGTGGAGGAAGATTCGGTGAGACTTGGACGAAAGAGAAAGGGACGGAATTTCCATCAAAGGCTCAACTGGCAGTACGATTGTCTGAAGATCTTGATAATAATGAGTATGTTTGAGGGGGTGAATGTGCGGTGGAGGATAAGCTGGAAAAAGGAAAATGTGCACGGTGTAAAGCGTTTTTTCATGCGCAAAAACTGAAAGAGCGAGTTATTAATTAAGTTTAGGTTCCTTGTTTGCAATGTGGGCTGTTGTACTACTCGGTCGCCCATTCCAGAGTAGGTCTTGTTCGAGGATGCACTCTAGCCTAGACGCAATCATGCGCGAGCTACAAGGCAGCAGGATTGTTCCAGATAGGCCGGTGACCGGTCGGTTGGTTCATTCGCCTTCTCTGGAAAACCTTGTCGGGTTGATGAAATTCGACAAGTTGGCAATGGCCGTATTCAGTGGCGGGCCACACTCACCACGTCACAGCGCTGTCATGAGATACATGTGGTGTTTTGTGTTGAGAACCCTTGCTAAGTGGTAAACCCACCACATCGTCGAGCGCGGCGCTGATCGTCCGCGACCGATTATTCAGTGAGAATGAACCCACCTTATTCACAGTTAACCGCCAGTTATCGGCCGTTCCCCTATCCGCAACCTGAGGACGCGCTCGGTAGCATACAACTCTGCTCTTGCCGAGCATTCTGTCATTACTTGTGCTTTATGTGTTATCTAGTTTTATCTTCCGACTGAAAACCGAGTGTTTGCTAGTTGCCATCACGTCGTACACCCCCATTATCCGCGATCCGATAGTCAACCATGCGTACCGAAATGTGGAGGTCTAATTGAGAGTTTTAGTGCTCTGTAATAAATCATTCTGTGAATGCAAATGTTCGTGTTCGCGTTTGTAGCTATCCGCTGGGTCGGGTTTCATACAATGGCTTTTTCCAGAGCTCGCAACTTTGCCAGGTCAAATTGTTCTAAATACCCAGAGCAGGGCTCGCCCTAATTCTAGATCACAGTCAGTGGCTGATGGTTTCGTTCGGGTTAACAAGCACAACGTAACATACCTGCTTACTCATCGGGTCTGTCAACGTACCGACAAATTGTAGTTCCCTTCGAATAGATAGATAGATAGATAGATAGATAGATAGATTACTTCATAAACCTATATCAACTCCAGATCAATTATCACCAAGGATTTCAACGCACACATGGAACCTTTGGGTTAATAAAATAATGTTTTGATGGCCTACATGCAGTTTCTTCCGACCTAACGCAGATCACGAGCTGTCTCTATTCAGCAATAATTTATACAAAGACCCATTCCGCCGAAAAACCTCTTAGTTCTCAGTGAGAGACTCACATGGAACACATTGAAATTGGTTATCCTGGATGGGGTTGTACTCGTCTGTCGCTCTTGATCTGCACCTGTTAACGTTAAATCATCTGTTACGACCCCCATTCTACTTGATTCTAACATCGTCTAACGCACCGCTCCTTATTCGCAGTTGCGGCACCAGGTTGGAGAAAACCACGTGGAGGTCAACAGATGACGTAAAAAGAGGCCCGAAGAAATGCACAGAGCAATTAGGAAGAGTAGTCATCTGTCTTCTAGGTTGGGGTCCAAGAGACTTCAACGGGCTGGTTGAAGACTGAAGGATGTGGCAACTAACCGACAGCAATAGCATTCTTGTCATTTCTTATGTGGTTAAAATGTTTGAAAAAAGTATTTATTCACAGGTTGCGCATTCTGTTTGTTGATCTTGGTAGTTCACTTTCTTCGCCTCCCACCGGTCAGTCCCAAACCCTTTCCGGTTTTGTACTTTCTCACTTTGTGTGCATTGAGAGTTTGGCAGATATCAGCGAAGTTCACTCCTGTGTATCTTGTTTAACGCTAATGGTGGTGATCGTGCGATAATCCGTTGAACTTCAGTTCATGTATATATTATTTTTCACATTTGTCTGAGTCCAGACTTTGTGCGGAACGAATCGTGGGACAAGAAAGACAAAGATTCATGATTTGCTTTGGGCGGAACAGTGTATATTTTTAACTGAAATGTGAGCATATATGCTTACACAAATACGAATACTTACAGGTTGCCCAAGCCAAAACAGACGAGTTTTCTTGGGGAATTCACAATCAGAACCTTCGGCTAGTCAAGGTCCGACCCGCATGACAGTATGAAACCTGCAATCCATGGAGGGGTAGAGGGTTCGATGTTCAACTCATCGAATTATACGCCCGTTGGACGGAGTCAAGCGTCCAAGGTGCCCAG